CAGGGCCCTTCAAGCGGCGCGTGCTCTGCACGAATAAGATCCTGCTCACCAGTGGTCATGACTGTTGCCTTTTCTGCCTCAGGGAACAACATCAAACACACTCTTGTCCTGAGTGTAAGAAGCTTACAAAACCCGCTCTAAAATTAAGACTACAAATACTTCGTTCGTACCTTTGGGAGAAATCTCTTAATCTGACCCCTATGGACCCGGCAATGTCTCCAACTCCAACCCAGAGCATCAAGAAACTCCTCGCCCAATATCGAGGCCGACAACCCCTTCACCTCTACAAAAAGACCATTCGAAGTCAACTTTGAAACCAACCTCTATGTCAACACAAAAAGGCTTCAAACCGTCCAGATGACTCCTCTAAGAAAAAGAAAGATTAGGCTAAACCTAAGAAGACCAAAAAGCCTACGAAATTGATTCAAATAGATCCACCCCAATTGGTGCTTCCGTCACCAATCCTTGAAGAGTCATCTAGAGACGCCCCAGGCTCCATCTTGTATAGAGATGACCTAAATTTACCACTGGCTCAGGCTGAAGTTTCTATTGCTAGCCTTTCACTGAGCACTGGCCTATCTCTGGCTGATGTTCATTCCAGCCTGGCCTCGGCTCATTCAAGCCCTAGATCACAGGGTGGGCAACACCTATTCAGGTTTCTGGCTCGTTGTCTCATCAGTCTCTCAAAAAACACCAGGAGAAGAGACAACACCTCTCTCCGGTCCAATATGACCCTCCACACAGGGAGTTATATTATCCTGAACCATCTCGATACTCAGCCAGAGATGAACATGGGGATCAGTACCATCACTACGACCCCTACTATCCTGAAGACCTGACCCAACATGTCTACTATGATGAACTGAAGAGAGTGAGATATGCTTATCCACCTCGTATTCACCTTCCGTATTGCCTCTAACCACACTGTCCCTCCACCAGATACTCACCCTCCATCTAAACAGACCAAACACTCTTCCAGACAGTCTCGACACCATACGTCTCTCCATGTCACCACCTCTTACAGGACCTCCTCTTCCTGACATGGACCAATGTCCTGTACCGAACATAACTCCAATATAGCAACTGCCTACATCTTCACTAGCTTTGACATTGGTGACTAAACCTCAACACAGATCACCATCTTCTGAATCCTCTCTTTCTATCCAGGATTCAACCTCCGGTATCTCTCAGGAATCACCCTCTAATTTCCTGCTGCTTATTGTTAAAATAGTACCTTCTGTGCCAATTGTTTCAGATGTATATGGGGAGGGTGTTTTAGGATTAAACATTCCAGTTGTTATTCCATGTTAACCTTGTGTTGCCTCTTAAAAGTGTTCAATTCCTTAATCTTGCCCTACTCTCAAGACCTTCAAACATGCCATATGTTATGTTTCAAGAATTTTTGCATGTTTTTTTAAAATAGGGGGTTCAATAGCTTGGGACAGTGGGAATTTTATACTTCCCACAGTCTTCGTTTCCCACCCCACAGCTTGACATAATTATTCCTAAGGGGCTGGAAAGAGGAGAGCTAGCAGAGGCAATCATGTTCATATCCTTTCCTTGTGGGCTGCAGAATGCAGTAACCTGTTTTGTTGCATTTTGCTGGTATAAAACATTAAAAGACAGAGCAGCAGGGCCCTTTTGAATCTGTGGGGTCCTGGCTTTTCCTCACCTAAAGGAAGAAGGAGTAGTCGGATAGAAAAGTGTGATGACAAGGAAGGCTATATCACTCTAAGCAAAGGCTGTGAACAGTGCTGTCTTAAAATACTTGCTCTACTAATCTCTGTCAATCTGAAACCATCTTGTGGCATCTTAAATCCTAACATGTTTTGTTTGTAGTAAGTTTTTCTGCAACCCATTTTATCATTGCCAAAGAAAACTTGTTAGCGCTTAAACTGACAATAAAACTTTTCATTGTTTCTGCTGCAGTAAACTTAACACTGTTCTATTCCTCCTCCCCCGTTACATTTATTTTAAAAGCATAAACATTTATTTAATTTGGGACTTTGGCAGAATGAATACGATAGGCATAGAAGGATAGAACATGCTTCTCAATGGATCTCTTGCTCTTAGCATAGTTTCTGAGTTTAATCCTTCTTTCAATACTGTTTTGTTCTCCCTTGATCCTTAGCCGTTCCTCACAATGAGTAGTAGTGAGATAAGGGAGCATGAGTCACTCTTTCCAGCATCCAAATGAAATGAGCTCTGGAGTAACTTATGACAACTAAATTATTCCATCAGCAGTGGTTTGCAGGACCTGGTTTTGTAATCAGGGACTTTTTGAAAGTTTAAAAAAGAAGAAGGGGAAGAGTGGTTTTTTTTGCCATCTGGTTATAGAAGTGTGCAGTTGTGGTGATCTAGGAGTAGGTCCTCTTGAAGATTTGAGATTTTTGAGGGGAAGTGTGGTGGGTAGCTCATAGCTGATTTTTAAAAAATCCAACATCTTTACTAAAAGGTGTGCTGAAGTTCATAGATCTCTTTAATGAGATAGGAGATCCAGCTGGTACAGTGGGAGCAAGGAATCTTGTTACTTTTGGAGTCCAACTGCCATCAAACCCAGTCAGCATTCCTCAGTAATAGAGTTGTAGTCTGGGGGCCACAGGTCCCCGTCCATTTAGCATCCCACACCCCATATTGGGTAGCCCAATGCTTTTTTGGAAACATACATACAAAGAACCTGCAATGGTCTTCCTCCACTGTAATGTTCTGGTAGCTGGTACTATTCCTATTTTGAGACAAATTGCAGTGTTCAATATTTGCTTCCTTGTTCAAATAGCATAGCTCCAAAAAGCTTTGCTTACTTCTGAGTAGGATTTGATCCTTGCAAGATCATGGGGCTTCCTGGAATGTTAGTGACACCTTTCTTTAGGATTCTTAGTGCAATTTAAGTGGCATCGGTGGTCCGCACCGCCTTCTTTCACCTTTGGCGGACAGCCCGGCTGCGGCCCTATCTTGATGTGGGGGCGCTCACCACCTTGGTGCATGTGCTCGTAATCTCAAGATTAGATCACTATAACATGCTCTACGTGGGGCTGCCTTTGAGGCTGATGCGGAAACTCGAAGTGGTGCAGAATGCGGCAGCCAGGCTCCTTAGCGAAGCGAGAAAACGTCAACACATTGGCTGCCCATTCGGTTCCGCATCGACTTCAAAGTGTTAATGCTGACTTATAAAGCCCTAAACGGTTTAGGACCTCGATATTTGGCGGAATGCCTACTCCCATCAAGGTCTACCCGTGTCACCTGCGCGAGTCAGGAGGTGAGGCTGAGGAGCCTGACGCCGAGAGAGACCCGCAAGGAAAGAACTAGAAACCGTGCCTTCTCGACAGTGGCTCCTCGCCTCTGGAACAATCTCCCTCCGGCGATTTGCGCGGCCCCCTCGCTGGGTATTTTCAAAAATCGACTAAAAACATGGATGTTCGTGCAGGCCTTCCCTCCAGTTAATCCTTGATTACTTTTCTTTTCTTTTTCTCTCCTTTTCTTCTTTGCCATCATGAATAATTTATTAATTTTTAGCTTATGTTATAATTTTTATGTGTGTATATTTGTATGTTTTATCTATGCATTGGAAGCCGCCCAGAGTGGTCAGAAGACCAGATGGGCAGGGTATAAATAAAATAAATAAATAAAATAAATAAAATTCTAAGCAAGCACACATGTTCATTTTTTGCTCTTTTACTTTAGGTCATGCTGTTCTGCCTTGTTTTTGTGCAGCAGTACTCTGACCTAGGACCAGCAAAGGCTATAGCAGTTGATACTGAGAAGGATTGCACACTGTAGGTCATCATATAGCTTCTGTACTATGGCAGTTGCGTTACGATTCTGCACATCTATTGCACAAAAACATTCCAATTCTTCTTCTCCTAATTCCTCTCTCGCCAGAGGTTGGGCAAGATCATGGCTGTCCTGATTTTGGGCATGGCATCATTAAACAATTCTCTTTCCTGCATTTCTTTTTCCATTTTTTTTACTTTGAAAGATTGCTGTAACAATTTGTATGCTGTTTCTTATAATATCAGAGTATTCTGACTCTTTATGTTTTAAATGTTTTCTGATTTCTTTGAATAAGAATTAAATGAACACTTAAAAAGCCTTCTTACTAATAATACATTTGGTGCAGGTGTTATTGCTGATGTTGCATTTTGAGAGTAATATATATATCCTAGCAGAAAGTTAAAAATGGAAGTGTAATCAGAGAAAAAGTGTCACGTTTACACAGATGCTAAATAGCCTGCTCCTTGAGATGTATCAGGGAATCCATTCTCTGTATCTTGTTTCTAGCTAAATCACAATGACTTTGGATGAGAGACATGATATTAATTTAGCTGCTTCACACTGGTTTTTATTGTTTAAACTATTTTAACATTCAGCAGGCATTTAGCTTTCTGTGCTAACGAGTTTAATAAACTCTCATATTTAACTGTTACCATGCTACCCTTTATCCTGGCTGATACTTAGAATGCACCACATGAAACTGACTATCCTGTTGGTATTTGTTGTTCTGTGCATAATTCAACAAGTTTCCACCACATTCTGGCTGATTTGTCCAACAAAACAACAAAAAAAGCTGTATTAGCTGTTCTAAATAAAGTTATCTAGCCACTTTTATGAACAGATTTGTATCCCTTAACTGCAGTCTTATTTACTCATTGAGAAAGAAAGCATTGCCAAATTTTAGATGAACGCATTATAGAACTTCAAACTACAGTATACGTGCTGATAAAAATATAGCATTGGGATAGGGTAATAGATTTAAAATATTTCTGCAATGATCAATGCTCAGTGTTTTTTTTCCTAAACATTTTAAATCAGTCTATTGCCTATGAATTTTCTTTCTTTCTTTCTTTCTTTCTTTCTTTCTTTCTTTCTTTCTTTCTTTCTTTCTTTCTTTCTTTCTTTCTTTCTTTCTTTCTTTCTTTCTTCACTATGAAAGTACTAGAGAAGATAGTGTGGGAAATTCCACTATATAAATGGAATGACTAATGGTGACTTCTTCTTCCTAGGGTCGACATGTCAAGACGGGTCAGCTGGCAGCTATCAAAGTCATGGATGTTACTGAAGTAAGTACTGTAATATGTGTGTTTATATGTGTATATGTATGTATACTAGTTAAAGGAACTGTATCTTGAGCCTTTCATCTCTTCAGCAGAAGAACACTCTGCAGTGGCAAGCTGATCTCTAGAATAGGGCCAAAGTAAAAAGAACTGTGTATACATTTGAGAGGTCAGATTCATCATAATAAATATATACCCTTTTTAAATTGGAAAGGAAGTGGACTCAGTAAAGGCCTAAATGCAGAAACATCTGCTAAAATGTTGAGCAGATTGTTGGCAGAATTCAGCAGTCTGAAGCAGTAGTTGTAATGGACTCAGGGGGATTTACTGTGGAGCTTTATATGAGAACAGGAGAAATTAACCCAGCCAGAGAGATAAAAATATACATCTGTAGTTAAACTGGTATCTTTAATAGCTTTAGTCACAGGCATGCAAAAATAGATCAATTTTAAACGTCAGAAAATGAAAGAGTAATTCTTAAAATACTATATTCACTGTTATCACTGTTAGACTTCGAATTTACGATCAGACAGGATTTATTCATCAGCTGTGTTTCATTAGCTTAGCACTGTCTAAAACATTTCAAGCCAAACAGCCTACTGCTGCAAAACATACGTGCTTGTATAATTCATCTAAAGCAGGGGTCTCCAGGCTTTTCACACTGAGGGCCACATAATATATTTTCCATATATTCAAGGGCCAAAGGAACACGCATGCATCTGCCTGCCCACCAATCTGCCTGCACACACAGAGTGGATAAAAGCAAAGCAGGTCAGATGTTGCCTGCAGGCCGTACTTTGGAGACCCCTGATCTAAAGTGTTAAAGTTTATTCTGTGCAGTTAATGTAGAAATAATTTTAGTTAGCGGTCTCTGCTAAATTGCATTTCTTAGAGAATTCCAGACTTCCTTACATCAGAGGCTGAATCCAGAATGTTGTTTAATTCTGGCTTTGATACTCTATGTAGTTTGTTTATTTGTTGTATATATGTGGGTGCATATCCAGGTGAAGTCCATAGAGAACTAAAAGCTTGTGGGTGCATGACTTTAAATATTAATAGAGCAGTGAGAAAGAAGAGTATCATGATTATGAATTTCAACATAGTAACCTAACAAATTTGTTGATTATGGAAACATAATACAGTGGTGCCCCGCTAGAAGCTTACCCGCTAAACGATGAAATCGCTTGACGATGACTTTCCTATGGGGGATTTTCGCTTTACCTTGATTAAGTCCTTGCTTTGCGAACCGTTTGTTTGCAAAACGATGATTTTTCTGGCTCCGCAAAATGGCATCCCTTCGAAAAATGGCTGGCTTCCCTTCACAAAATGGCTGTTTTCCGGACAGAAGCTTTGCAAAACAGCGATTTTAAACAGTTGATCAGCGGTTCTCTATGGGTGATCTTCGCTGGATAATGAAGTACAGTATTTCCTCATTGGAACGCATTAACCAGTTTTCAATGCATTCCAATGTTGTTGTTGTTTGCATGACGACGATTTAGCTGTACTGTACTGCGATTTTAACGGAATGGATTATCGTCGTCATGCGGGTCACCACTGTATAGTGTATATTTAAAAGAACTCTTCATTTTGCAATATGCAGGGAATGTAAGCACATGAAAGCCTGCTATAGAATATTTTCAAGGAAGAAATGCTATTGAAGTTACTGTAGTCTGTGTTGGGATATAACATTTCTCTGAAAGTATGTATACTTTCTTGTCAAAAGGATCAGGTACTTGGTAGGACTGCAACTTCAGATGTTTCAGGATTATAGTGATGATTTGGACCCTGTTTCAACTGGACTTTTCAGGCAGGATATGGGGTTGAAATTGCTCATGTTGCATTGGTGGATAATGTCCATGGGGAGCTGGATTTATTGTTGAGACCTATATCTTATAAATACACCAGCAAGCTGAAGATGAAACTCTGTCTGTTAGGCCAAGTTGAGAGATAGTAACTGTTCAAGGTCACCCAGTCAGTCGGCCTGTAAGTGGCTTTTGGTGCCATTGAGATCAGAAGATTTGGTTTTGTCCAAAAAGTGAATACTCTTTGACACTTTGGCTTACAGTGTTCACATGGTTCCATCTTGACCTTGATCTTGTTAAGTAACTAGGTGTGCTTATCTACAACTTTGGAATGGTATGAGGTAGATATGCAGGTGACATCCAGCTTTATTACTCTCTGTCACCAAACACCAAAATATGTGGTTGAGGCTCTTGAAAGTTGCTTGGGCTTGATATTGGGTTAGATTAGGTTGAACAAACTGAGATTGACTCTATGCAATGAGAGGATGCTGTTGATAGGTAGAAACATAAGGTTTGTTGATTGGGATTCACCTTCTTCTAGAAGAGATGCACCTGAGCGATGGCATCTGTAGCTTGGGATTACTTGATTTGGTGCTGACCCTGAAATTCTAGGTGGTGATAGTTGGAAGAAGTGAATTTATACAGCTCCAACCTTCTCAGAGTTGGTCTGATATGCAACTGTTAGGCATGATTTCTCATGTGCCATTTAGACAGTTGCAATCAGTAGCCTTGCAGGGCATCATGAGATTTCAACTGGTACGAAGTGGTAGCGAAGCTGTGAACTTTTGCATGGTATTGGCTGTAATACATCTAGTTTCCAGGTGCTTTCTTCAAGTTGTTGGTTTTAACTTTTGAAGCCCTAACAGGCTTGGGTCTTGCTCATGTAAAGCATGCTCCTACCCTTTTGTGATCTTATCCAGCTGTTGATATCTACAAGAGAGGTTGCCATCACATGCCCATTTGTTAGGCCAAGGGTTTTCTCTGGTGTAGCTTCAGGATTCTCCCCTTTCAGAGCAAAGACTGGCCTTTGTTGTCTTACTTATTAAAAAACCAGCTAAACCATGAAATTTGTGTTTAACAGTTTTATGGTTTAAGTGTGATAGTGTTATTCTTTCATGTGTAAGTATGAAATGTCAGGCTGTTGCAAAGGATTATTTACCTCTGAATATGTGTAAAAAAGAAAGTACATTAAGTCACAAGGCCTAATAATAAAATAACCATCTGACTTTCATGGGGGACCAGGAGTTGGGGAGAAGCAAGAACTGGTAAAATATGTGTCATTCACATAACATGAGCTGGAAGCTGCTTGTGTAAAAGCATATTGAATGCTTTCAAAGTGTCATATCTTTCCATAGCAGATGTGAGGGCAACTTAGCTCAACAATTGTCCTTTTAGCAAAAATTACCTGCTGCAGGTCAGCATCTGAATCTACAGTATATTTATTTTTCCACCACTCTACATGATGATTACACAGCACATTTAACTTAAAATGTGTTTTTATTAGAAGAGGTATCTCAGTTTTGCCAGCCAATAATTGGTTTGATGCTTCTCGTCGTCTTCTGAAAAAGGAGTGTGTATTTGCATGAAGTAACTGTGGTGTGTAAAATATGGGAATTTTAATGGATACTGGCAGATGGACCACCTTTGGGTTAGTTCCAGTCTGAAGCTTTTTCTCTTCTCTTTACACCCTGCTGTGGTTTTTTTTTTGTTTGTTTGTCTTTTTTCCCTTCACACTGTGCACGTTCAGCCTTTCCCTGTGATTATCTTGTACGGTACCCAGTTAATAGCAGAGGAAATTCTTTATCTCTTCGCTTCTCCGTCAACTTTTTGAAGACTTGCAGGGCAAAGCAACATATTATGATTGTTTCCAACATGACCATTTTGTGCCTGGCTCCAATTTGCTGAGAAACTAAGTTATGTCAGATCCTGTTCCCTCTCAGCCCAGATTCACAGCCACTGTACTGGGGCAAGGTCTATGGTCAAGGTAGCCCTTAGTAATTTCCAGCATCTCTAGGATGAGAGGGGGGGTTGACATCAGCACAGCCTGAGCCAACTTAGCATCCGCTCAGCTGGTTGTTAGCCATTTTGGCTAGTTATAATTCCACCCCAAGTCAGTATCTTCAATCTCCTTTAATACTTTAGCAAAAATCTTGAGATTTGAGTCTTAGACCTTTGCTGTTCGTTAGTTGTATTGCACTTTGGATTTCTGCATTTCTAGTCCAGTATCATCATTTAATGTTGTGTTAAGTTCAGTTGGCTGTTATCTGTAATACTTCACAATCAACATTCCTTCTAATTTTCATTCCCACTGTGCAGGATCCTCATCCTATACATGCGTGGAGGGCAGGGGCTTCTTCTGAAACAAGAAGTAAAGAGACTAACTGCCAGCTGCCCTTGAGCAGCTGTTGGAGCTCTGCTTGTATGGGTGGACCTTAGAGGGAACACTGTTTGCAATGTAGTCATTTCACATTGTGAATTTATCCTTTCATTAGAGAATTGTTCCTACCCATCATTACCAAGTAGTTTTTCTTTTTAAAATATACAGTAGCCTCCTTGATCCTTTTATGCACATTAAAACAATTGTTGCTGTTACTGAGGTGTGGTTAGACCCAAAGTTGGATTGTCAGAGTCCTTCCCTGAGCTCAGCTGACGCTATTTACTTAACTGTTAATAATAAATTTAATAAGAACTGCAGAGCTGGAAGGGACCGTATCGATCCCTGAACCCAAAATCCTGTCAAGGAGGCATAGTAGGGAATCTGTTTTAACAAGTGTTTTTCTTTTTAAAATATACAGTAGCCTCCTTGATCCTTTTATGCACATTAAAACAATTGTTGCTGTTACTGAGGTGTGGTTAGACCCAAAGTTGGATTGTCAGAGTCCTTCCCTGAGCTCAGCTGACGCTATTTACTTAACTGTTAATAATAAATTTAATAAGAACTGCAGAGCTGGAAGGGACCGTATCGATCCCTGAACCCAAAATCCTGTCAAGGAGGCATAGTAGGGAATCAAACTTCCAACTTCTGGCTCTGCAGCCAGATATCTAAGCCAGTGGTTCTTAACCTTGGGTTACTCAGAAGCTTTTGAACTGCAACTCCCAGAAACCCCAGCCAGCACAGCTGATGGCAAAGGCTTCTGGGAGCTGCAGTCCAAAAACACCTAAGTAACCCAAGGTTAAGAACCACTGGCTTAGATATCTGGCTGC